TTTATTTATTTATTTTCCTGTGTGCTCTAGCTCGCTTTATTTCYGTTGATATTATTTATGTTCTCAATACGCTGTGTTTCAGAAATCATCAGAATTGGGTCATCTGGACTGTGTCCTTAAAACTGTCCCCCTGTCATCTGTGACGGGATTTCCTGTCCTTCCCTTATTTTATAAAAAACTTGAAATTGTGGCAGAAGCGCCAAGAAGATAAAGCTTGTGCGTAAAATATGTGTGGACAGGACTCGTTCTGCCAAGCTGATCAAATTGCCAAAGTGCATATGCTTAAGAAATTAAACTCTAGTAGCACCCAATGCAATAAACAATTTCAAAGACGATTAAACAATTCCAGTTTGTCTTAGCTGTTAATTACTCTGAAAAGCTGTCTATTGTGCATAAGCTAAAGAGCAAGGGAGATTATAGTTATTACACAACRAAGTGTCGCCTCACAGCCTTGTCTTCTCTCTAGGGTTTAAAAATGCTACGTGCTTTATTATTGTGGTGCTGTACTGTGCAAATGGGACAAGTATCCAAATATAAATAGTTTAGTTAACTAAAGAAGGAGATATCTTGTGATGGTAGCTGTAGGCTTGGGAATGCAGAGGTCTGGGCATTGTCTCTTCCTTCCTCTTTCTCTGCTAGGCTGCATGGGCTGCACGTGCAGTATCTTTCACCTCTGTCATTATGGAAGGTGCTGTGTAGTTCAGTCTCAAGTTTGGTAGCAGTGTGGTGCTGTGTTCTTGGTTGGTAGGTTTTGATGGTTTGCTTTGGTGATTTTTCCTTTTCCTTTTTTTTTTTCCCTCTATTTTTTTCTTTATTTTTTCTCCTGCTGGTTGACCTCTTCATTCCTTTTAGCTTTCTCCCACAAACATACACGCAAACGCTTCTTTTTTCTTTTTTTCAGTTACATCTTAATTTCCAACAGTTGGGCTGCCAGAGATAGATCCGCTGGCTCCTGTGACAACTGGAAGCAGTTGAATAAATAGTTTGGCTAATAGTATGTAGCAGTTGCCTAATTGGAGTAGAAAATGCTAGCATTAGCTGTAAGTCTAAACAATCTCTAGACCTAAATGTAGCCAGCTGCAGGAAAACTAATTATCTTGAGAAAGAMAGCAGAAAATTGTTTGTGTCCAGAAAAATGGCAACGTGGTCGTGTCTCAGGCGGGAGGGGAAGAGGGGGGCTGGCTGGCAGGGAGCTCTGGTTGAGCTCCCGGAGAAGAGAAGGCTGAGAGGGGATCTGATAAATATGTATAAATACCTGAAGGGTGAATGTAGGGAGGAAGGGGCCAAACTCTTCTCAGTGGTGGCCAGTGACGGGATAAGGGGCAATGGGTTTAAGTTGAAACACAGGAAGTTCCACCTGCATGTGAGGGGGAACTTCTTTACTGTTAGGGTGACAGAGCAGTGGAACAGGCTGCCCAGGGAGGTTGTGGAGTCTCCTTCTCTGGAGGTCTTCCAAACCCGCCTGGACATCACCCTGTGCCACATGCTCTGGGTGTCCCTGCTTGAGCAGGAAGGTTGCACTAGATGATCTCTAGAGGTCCCTTCTACCTCAACCATTCTGTGATTCTGTGAGCTGGGCCGCGTAGAGACTGCAGCTGCTGTCGCTTTTGCTGCCCGCCCTGCTGCCTCCTGGCCTGCAGTTATCTTCAGTATCCTGGCCTAAAAACGGGTCATGTAAAACATCTCTGCTGCCCTGTGTACCCCGGGAAAGTATCGTTTAAATGTCTGCTCTCAAAATGGTTGTTACTTCCAAATCAGATTTCTGGTTTTCTGATGATGCACTTGCTTCCTTCCTACTGTTTTCTACCACCAGTTGTACTGTCCAACTACTAGTTGAAATCTGTGGAATAGCTGATAACTGGGAACTGAACCCAGTTTAGGGTGTTCAAGTTTAGGGTGAATAAAAAAAATGTATTTTGTGTTTCTGTGGCTTGCATTGTTTTTGCATATAAAGAGGAATGATGCCTTCCTGATGATTTTCAAATATTGAATAAAAATAAGGCTTGAGGGGAAAAAGAAAAACAGTTTAAAAACTTAAATTTTGTTTGATTTTCATTCTGATGAGTCCATTTGTTTACTTCCCAGACTAATTTCAGGTGAGTCATCACTTGATCAGGGAGGCTAATTAACTGTAGCAGAGACGTGGCCCTTTAGATTCAGTGCTGCAGTGGTTTTTGGGTGGGGGGAGTATGGAAGGAAATTACTTTGAGTGTCAGGGTTGTACTTGACTTTTGGAGAGTGCATTGAACTAGTGAGATCCACAGCAGTAGGAGAAATAATTGAGGTAGATGCTCACCTAACATTTCTAAGAGGCTTTATTCTCCTGTTTATACTGCTCAAATTCTAGCACAGACACCTAGACAAAATATTGCCTGTAATCATACTCAAGGAAGCTCTACATTTAGTGAAGAGTTTGGCTGCTTATGTGTAAAGCTTGCTTCCTCGTTACCTCATATATTCAACTTTCACGAGGTAAAGAATAGCTTGTGTCACTGCAGAAATCACTGGTCTCGTGATTTTAAAACATCTGTGCACCCGTAGTCAGATTCTGCCCCGAAGTGCGGCCTGTTGCTTCAGCCCTCCCTGTCTGAGGTCTGTGCCGGCTTCACTCCCTCCTTGTGCTGAGCTTCGTTTTCATTGCTGGTCCAAAGCAATAGAGGTGTCTTAATTCATAGGTAACAGTTCTTTCTTGAAGACCACGAGGGGAGGAATTATTACCTTTCTTCCAGTATATTTGCTCTCTCTGACRCAGAATGTCTGTCACTTCTGTAGTGAAACTGGGGCTGAATTTTATTAGTAAAGCTGGTCTTCAAGAAAATGGACTGTTAGGCAGCCTTTCTTGGCGTCCGAAAAGATCTGAAAGTCAGTGGGCGTCTCAGAGATGGTGAGAGAAATAAAATTGAGTTACCTTTCGTTCGTTGTCTTTTATGAACTTCCCATCCCAAATGTGGGCCTTCTGAAAATGCTTTTGTTTATATTGACCTAAGTTTCCATCCAAAGTTGTTCTTGGTCTCCATTAATTTGAAGGAAGGATGAGGAAATACTCTGAGGGTTTTCTCACGTTGTTCTCTTCCTGTAAGTGTTCTAATCTCCTCTGAGTGTATTCATATCAAATATTTTGTTTTCAGCCTAAAGTCTAACTCCTCATTCATGAGGAGCAAAAATTCTAAATCTTTCTCACTTTAATACTTGCATTGATAACTTTTTCAGTTGTCCCCCTAGAAATCCTAAAAATGTTTTAGAAGTATGCTTTAAACTAAGCTTTATAGGTCGTGATGTGATTTTTATTAACCACAGAAAACACATGTAAAGAGGGGAAGCAAAATAACAAATTTTTTTTTATATATATATGTTTAATATATATATATATATCTTGTGTATGTGTGTGAGTTCAAAAATGTTAGTGAAAATAAACTACCAGCCTTTAGAATGAGAAAAACCAAGTAGGACAGTGTGACAAACTTTGATATGTGGGAAGGAGTTCATAAATCCACCAAAATATTGAGATTTTAGATAAATTTTAAAGGAGTCTGCCTGTGTTTGCTTGCCTAGAAAGGTAATTCAAGAAGAGCTGTCGTTTTTTAATATGTTGCATCCTGATTTTGAAAGCAACTGTGATGTAGTTCTTCAAAAGTACCCCTAGTGCTCTGAAATGCTGAAATGTATTGATATCGATATTGGTATCTTAGATATCATAGGTATCTGAGGTGATCAAACTTGTTGAACTTTTTTATTATTAATTTTATTTGAGATAAATGTCTGGGTAAGTGTGATAAAGCTATCTGATGATAGAAAAATATTCCTAAGAGGATTTTTGTTTAGTTGTTGATAGATTCAACTACATTTTAAACGTTTAGGTTTTAGTCTGAACACTTAACTGCTGCTCTGTAATGGACTTGGGTCGTCTCCAAATCTCTGGCAAGTTTGTGGAGAAAAGAGGCTAATTGCATGCACCTGCCAAAGACATTTATAGTGTGCGTTATAGAGAGGTTTTGTCTGTCTATTTTAAAGGGGCAAATAGCCCCCAAAGAGGGAGACACGTAGTGCTGTATCTGTGCTGGCTTGTGGAACTGGCTGAGTGTRAAAAGAACACACTGAACCATCTAAAATTAGTGCAGCAACTGGAGATACCATGAACATCCTGGCCTTCTGGAAAGGTTTTTGTCTCCCTGTGGCTCATCTCTAACATTGTCATTTTTTCTTTAATGGGAATTGAGCAAAAAATACAGCCTGCTATTTGGCCTGGCTTCATATAACTGAAATAGAAAGGCATCTCTATCGTTTGTGCAAAGTTCCTTATAGCCTTGCGAACAAATGGCAAGTTTATACTGCTAATCTTCCATATATTTTAAAATCTGTTCTTTAAAGGGGGGAAAATTAAGCAATATTCTACTACCATCGTTGGAGCGAAGTTTCCTATACAGTGAAATGGCACAGTGCCCCAGGCACGCAACTGCACAGAGTTGTTGAGGTTGGGAAGGATCTTGGAGCTTTGTGGAGATCCTGTTTGCAGACTCTCCTGGGCTCTGTGCTGTTCAGAAGAGCAGCTGGGCGACATCTGCAAGGTGTCCAAATGGATGGACCACAATTCTGCCCTTCCAGTACCTCTGCTCTGTGTAACTGGCTTGGATATCTCCATCCGTCTCTTAGGAAACGATTCTTACAGGACCTGTAAGCTGAGAGAAATGTGTAGTGCCTTTTGAAGTATCTCTGCAAATGGAAGCTTCTTTTGAAGTTTTGGCAGAAAAGATTTCAGAAATAGGAATAAAAATATGCTTATGGTGGAGAAAACAAACCTCTGGAGCACGTGTGAATGTTTGTTTTCCATTTTGTAGCTGCTACAGAATCAGTGCAGTTTTGGTTGTCATAGGAAGGTTTTAATGCTTCCCATTTCCCAAGGATTTTTGAGAATGCTTGTCGTTATGGCTGTATTTGGGGAAATGTTTGAGAGAATCCATACTGATATCCATGGCCAGAAGTTTTGCTTTTGTGTTTTGTAGGTAATGTCAACACAATTCCACCTCCAAGGATGTACACAGTGGATCTCCCTCCTGAGGGTTATGTTGCAGTTGCTGCAAATACTGATAGTGTCTCAGTTTCTGAAAAATCCAAGAGTGATGCTGACTCAACAGGTAAGTTATTACCATGATTTTTTCCCAGAGAAACTTTCCAGCAATTCGTATCAAGTCCACATTGGAACAATTGGGTATTTAAACCATTGCTGCCAGTGGGTGTCACTGTTTTGCAGCATAAGCAGAATGAAGATATTCATCTGCGTGGGCCAATTTCCTTCCCTGCAGTTTGAACACCAGGTTTGACGTTTGGTTCTGSCCATGCAGGGCCACTCATGTTACTGAAGCTGCATAAGGTGCAACTGAGAAGGAAGCCTGACCACAGCTCGTCCCCCTCAGGTGCCTCGTGTCTGTTCACTTCATACCTCCTTGCACACATACTATTTTTATGAGTATAGTTAGATAAAGCTCTTTTGATAGGTCCTACTCACAGTGTTTCCAAGGAGTTGAACACTGATGTAAACTYGCTTGTCAAACTTAACCTATCTTAGACCAGAAGTTTACCTGGTTGGAGGTAATAAGGGGAGATACTGATCTATACGTGTGGAGAGGCCTTGAATGAGAAACTGTGATCAGGGAACTTCAGAACCAATATTTAGTGTTGTCAAAGGATGAAAGAGAGATGTGTAAGGTCTGTAAAGAAGGCTGTAACTTGACCCCAGTTGAAAGCATAGTTTTCTGAATGACATGACCAGAATTAAATTGATTGATTGATTTAGAAGGAAGTACTGAGCTTAGATGAGACAAATCCATTTAGATGTCTGTTTTTTCACTGTCGTTTTTCCAATTATTTGGTTTCTCCAAAATTGTGTTACGCTGTTACTTGCTACTGAATTACTGACAGCTGCTAAGGCCAGTCTAYAGCAAAGAGAAAATCTAAAAGATTTTCCTGAAGGAGTACACTTGATGAGCAATATTTACTTAGTTGCTATATCTGCTTTAGCTAGAAGACTGCCTACATTTAAGAAAAATCTGAGATTCAACCTACAGATAAGGAAAGACCATTCAGTCTTTCTTTTGAAAACAGTATCCACAGGGTAAAATTCTGGCTTGGGAATTGGGCCTGTCCTGCATCCTGAGCTGTACTCGTAACAAAGCCTGTGATCAGCACCGTGGTTCTGGTTTGAAACCAGGCATTTCACCTTTCCAGGGGAACACTGTCTTGAAGGGACCCAGATAAATGTTTGAATCTGGATTCAAAGAAAACCATCAAAAGAATCTAAGGAATAAGTACAACATGCCTGGAGGTGGCCTATCAGGGGTCTCATTCTCAGTAGAAAATGATTTTAAACCTCTTTTTGGGCTGGGGAAGAAAATATACTTTTATCAGAGAAACACGGTAGCAAATATTGATACTACTGGGATTAAGGGTAGAAGGAGTTTCTAATATGCAATTTCCAAGCCGTGCTTTTTCCCTTTGTTTTGGGTAGGATCTGCATTCAAAATCCCACATCTCATATTCTCATATATTCTCATATCCTCAAGGTGAATTCCACGGCTTCCCGGGACAGTTCATTGGGTTTCTCTTCTTATTAAGTGCTGGATTCAAGCTGTTTATTCAAACACTGCAGCACCTTTCCCTTCCTCCACCCTGTGTAATTTCTGTGTGTTCTTTGTGGTCTCCTTTCACATATTAGCGGGACATACCCATTATGCCTTATTCTYATGTTTTTATAAATGTGACTAAATTAACTGTCCCAATACTTGTAATTAGCCCCATTTGTTTTTATAAGGGGATGTAAGCAAGATAAAATATTCAGACACAGCTCTCYAAGCATTACCAGATCCATATATGCTTATAGAGATATCAGACCAGAACATCWGTGGCAAAGTTGCTGAGCTTCAATTTAAAATCTATAAATAATCAGGATTTGGTGCATATAAATACTGATATATTGCATAGCAATAAAATAACATTTAGGATAGCATTTTTTTTAGAATGGTTAAATATTTATTCAATTTTACAGTTGATAGATTGGCTTTATTTATTTATTTTTTAGAACTTATTTTTCTTCTAGCACTTCAAAACAAAGCTGTTCAACCATGATARCAGTAAGCAGTGCTCTGGTTTTGCTCAGTGACGGCATTGACACTTGGGTGGTGATCTCTTACAGCTGACCTTTTCTTACTGGAATATGATCAAGAAGAGCAGGTTTGGGCTTCACTCCCCCCTTTTCAACAGTTGTTGGATTTTTTTTTTTTTCTTGAATTTTGGGAGACTGGCTTTRCAGATTATGATGAAATTGAGAAAAATAAACTTGGAATTGAATTTTAGACACTTKGAATATATTTTCCTTTTCTTTACTATAGATAGAGTTTTTGCCAGATAGCAATGTAATTTGTTCTTTGGGATCTCCAGACAGGGAGATTTTATACCTCCTGTTCAGTTTCATCTAGTGTTTCACTGTCTTATATGTATCCCAGAAGTTTCTTGCTGCTGCTCAAGCCTCTTGTTACTTTTCCTATCTAAGCATGAATTCTAAAAATATAAATTTGTGCTAATCCTGCAAGTTTGAGGAAAATAGTTAATTTTACGTGTTTATGACTTTCATTGTATTTGAGCTTATACATAAATTTCATTGCAGGACTAAGGCTTTAAGTGCACTTAACACTAATATAAATTAAACAGGAATAGTTTAACCCATCATACCATAAATTATTTAGTTTGTGGGCTCGCATTAGGTTGAATCACTTAACAGTGAGAAATGTATAAAGATGTGATGCACTGTCCTTAGTAAGGTAAATAATGCATACTGGGTAATTTCTCTGGTATATTGGCAGTGGGGGTGGTCTCACCACCCAAGCACTGTTGACTTTTTGAACATAGTGTAGTATTAACTGTTTCCTTTTTGATTCCTCACTTCAGGAAACAAGTTTCCTTTAGAAGTATTTATCAGAAAATAATTTAAAACATCAATATACTAATCAGAAAATAATTTAAAACATCAATATACTAATCAGTCATATGTCTGTCATCTAGATGTTTTGTTGAGATGGGCAGATACGGATCTGATTCGAGGGTGAGAATTTGAATGGCTTTCAAAAGGAAACAAAAACCCTCCGGCACTCAAGTGCATCAGTGCAGATGTGGCAGTGATGGATGTCAAGCCTGGGTTTATGTAACGTGGGTAAGGTTAAGCTCTGAGAGGCTGTGCTTTGTTGATAGCTTTGCTCAAGAGCACCTCTCTTCACTGCAGGTCCTGCATAACAGCTTACTAGGACCTGTAGCCACCAGAGTCACTTCTTGAAGACCTCGCTCAGGTGGAGCAGGCGAGTTCCAGAGGTGATGCAGAGAGCAAGAGCTCGACTTGAGTTGTATGGGAGCAAGAGCTCAACTTGAGTTGCATCCCTATTTCCGTGAAGGAATCTTTGTATTGCTTCTAGAAGCAATAAGGAAAAAAGAGCCTTCTGCCAGGAATTAGGGATGTGGTCACCTCCAGGAGAACAACAGCTGAATCAGACCGGTGCAGATGGGGCATTCAGACAGGTTTATTTCGAGAATCTGCTTTACTGGGACATTATGATGGTAGAAATCATGACTTTATCATGAATTCTTGCCTATCCCTTCATTTCTCTAGCATGCAAAGGATATTGAAGGCTTGTCTGAAGCCAGATGTCTCATTTGGAGCATGTTTATTTTGGGGCAACACAATGTCTCATTTAGGCCTACATAGGATATCAGAGAAGGGATTGCCACCCCTTTGACTCACAGAAGAGTCTGCAGGTCAGTRCACAAGATTATTCTGAAAATGTAGATATCCATTTGCTATCTCCAGCGTCTAGAATATGAATTTAGACATGACCTGTTTCTAAGTTATTTAAAAGTCAAGTTCATTATAGTTATAAATTAGTTAGCTCTTGTCAGCTATAAAATATATAGGGCTTTGTTCATTATTCCTCTCCCTTAAACTTAAAATTACCTTTTGATGGATAACAGCAGAATAAAGGGAATCTTGTCCAGACTAGCTTCCAAGGAAGGAAAAGAAAAACAAAGAGTGTCTGTGTGAATGTTTTGTTGTGTCTTACTCCATCTGTCTCTGTATATATTTCAAATACTTCTCCCTGTAAATAAATAGCTACATTTATTGTGACCATAAATACGGAGTCTGTTATGCAGTCACTTAGTGATGGGCGCTTAAGTGACATAAGGGCTTTGGGGTTTAGTTTTCTGTAGCCTCCTGGCTGCTGCGGGTAACAGTTTCCATTCCTTTTTCAGAGGGGTACAGGAGAGCAGACGAATACACTTGTCTTTGAGGTTTGGTTCCATGAGATAAGCAGGTGGTTGGCATCTAATCATCTATACATCTAATAATGAAAAGAAAAATCTAAGACTGTGCTGTCTTTCAGAAAAAAAACTAAAAAGAAAATCCAATGTACTTAGAAAAATAAATTTTAGACTTAGATGTCTTGAATTTTTTAGTGCTACTTTAACTCAGGTGTTGTGTAGGGATTGAATTGCTGTGATGGTGTCGTTGGCTCACCCATTTGTGGACAGAATGGAGTAATATGGGGTTAGATAATAAAAGAAGGAAACAATGAAGAGGATTTATTTTCTTCAGATGCCTTTTCTATCTTGACTCTGGTACACATTAATGGAATACCAGCTTTCTTTTAACAGTAGACTTTCGACAAGGGCATTAAAAATGTGTTGTTCAAGCTGTAGATAAGCACTCACTCATTGAATTCTGGTAATGGACTCAATACCTTTAATTTTCGTTTCTGTCCCAGTTTAATACCTATCTAAATTTGTAATGYTTCTTTGAGATAAGTTGGAGAGGTGTAATAAGGATATTCTGAATAAAAGCAGAATTGCAGAAGGCTTTAGTAAATGTATATTTATTAACTTATTATAAAGCTCTGTTTCTGTGTGTGTTTTTGTTTTATTTTTGTAAGATTAAAACTGTTTGATCTCATATGTCCAGTAACATTTCTTCTCAGATGTTCCAATATAATCTATGATAATAGAATATAAAATATGAAATAATTATATGAAGCACAAAACAATGAACTGGAATATAATTTCTCCATGAACTACTTTAATAATAAATGCATATTTTTAT